CTCGAGTGGGTACTGTTCACGTCAAAAACGTAACGGTTCACGTACGAAAATATCCTCCGAAAATCGCACCGCCTCCGGCGTGCAGCACGACGATATTGAAAAACTCCGGTTTTGACTAATCCTACGGTCGTAGAAAATTCGGTAAAACTCAGAACGATATAATTGTTTTTTTTTTTTTTTTTTTATGAGATTTTATAAATGTTATTACTATGACTTCGTGTAAATTATGCAAAAACGTAGACGAAAAGTATTCGGTAAAAATCATTCGAGAATATATTACGTATATATATATATATATATATATATATATATATATATATATACCAATACGTATTACCAATATTACCATATTTTTATTGAAAATGTATGGTTCATCGATTGTAACACCATTGTGCAAAAACGTGGAATTAGGTAACGGTTATTATTTTTATTTGAATTATGTACATGGCCGATACGATAATATTCTTCGTTCAATTTTACCTAACGAATAGTTGATTTATTACTAGGTACATTATTATGACTTATTATTTGTTATAGTTTTTTCTTTCTGTAGATGTTTATTAGAAATTAATCCTTTAAAATTTTTAAGACATGTTTTTATAATACTCGTAATGCTTTTCAACGTATAAAAAACATTTTTCACTATATGAGCATTTACTTTTACTCGAAAAAATAAATTACTACATTTATTCTCTGTGTCTATACATTTACAATACATTTTAATTTTAATTTTATTTTATTTTTTTATTTTTTATCAGTTATTAAACAGGAAAGTACTTTATAAATATTAATATTATAATACTTTAATTACTTTCTCTTGTTGTTCAACAAAAAACTATAAAAACCGAGGCTGTGTGTGAGTTAAAATCAAGTGCTTATACATATTATATATAATTTTTTTATTTGTTTTTCTTGGTAATATTTCATTTAAAGGTTTTAACATATAACAAACAAGAATATACACCAAGAACAGACAAGAATATTTTAGGATTACACTGTTACATTCGTATCGGAACTAAGTATTTAGGTTTGAATTATATGCAATAGAATAATTTTGTTTACGAAACCATTTCGATTCCTACTAAGTTGGACTAACTGACTAACTGACCCGTTTTGACGAATTATGTGTATTTTATTAAATTTTAAAAGTTCAAATGAAAAAAAAAAAAACAATGATATTGCAATGCGATTTTAATACTCGTATTGTAATTCAAAATCGCTTAAATAATTATAATTTTGTAAATATTTTTGGTACAAAGTCTAATTGGAGATAACGAATAAACGAGTCCTTCGAGGACAAAATTCTACCGAATTTTGAACGCCTCAACTTCGTAATATTTTCAACGTGTTGTCTCGATCAAAAAATTAAATAATATTTAAGGTTCACGTCGTCTGTAAACTTCTCTGCATATAATGTTTACTGTTGACTAAAAGACTCTTTCAGGTAAATATTTTAATACGAACACGTACATACGCATTCATACACACTACTTATTGTTTTAATATACATATCGTCCAAGATTCTACTACTGCTTCGAGTGGAGTTATTATATTTATAATGTTAGTCAATATTTTAATTTTAAAGAAGAATAATATTGATAAAAGCTTTACAGTAATAACACCTTATTATTGCTGAGAACTGGTTAGCAAATATTTCAGTAATGATCCGAAAACAAATATACTGTCAAAATAAAATAATTTCAGGAAAATACGAAACGTGTAATAATTCTCTTCAAATAATTCGGTACGAAACGAAAAATATGCATATGAACCACGTGTATTGTGTAATATATTTCTTTATATCTTACATGTTTACTATACACTTTTTATTTACTCTGTGCATTATGTTTATACGTCCAACAAAGAATATTCGTTTTTTTAAAATGTTTATTATTTAAAACAAAAATGTATTTACAATTTCTCGGTTTTTGGATTTTGATTTCTCCGATTTTACTTATAGTTTGATACGCGATTTATAGTTTATTCAAATCAAAAAAAAAAATATATATATATATTTTAAATGAATATAAATCTATTTACTTGCAATAATTTTTGGTTCGCACTATTCGCCATTTTCACATAAAGTATTAGATAAACTCAATTTAGAAAATCAATAATCTAACTCTAAATGTGTAAACGTTTATTTTGAGCTAAATATCGAATATAGACTTTCTTGGCATTATACTATAAACTGTAAAATGGTGAAATGGCTTTGAGTAGTTAAAATAACTAAAGTAAATAATTTAACAGGTAAGAATTTAATTAAAATCAGTTGAATTAAAAGTTGAACGAAGGTTAATGTATATTCACTGCTCGAATTGGTAAAATTAAAGAAGGGGGACTCTGTTTGCTTAAAAAAAAAAATTGCATCCCCAAAAATTGTTAAGCGTTACAATTGTAACGTAATAATAGTAGGGGGGTGCTAACATTTCTAAAAAATTAGTTGGGGTACTCCGTCTCCCTGCGTCCCTTCTCAAGTCGACCACTGTGTACATTATTATATTTCCTGCAGCTTGCGCCAATATTTCCAGGAGAAACTTAAGATGTAGACAATTTTGAAAACAATATTATACGACAATATACCACCGTACAGTGTTGCAAAAACCGGGTGTGCAGAGTGTGCCGCATACACAGGCCCCAAGGCTTACATTAATTTGGGGAGGCCCCTAGTCACAGCCTGAAATAAACTACACTTTACAAACACACAATTGTTTAATAATAAAATGAAAATTTTTTAAAATTCAGGTAAGGTTTTTATAATATTTTAGAATAATACAATATTTATTTAACAATGAGTCCATTGAGTATTTGAGTAGGCATACAAGATACCTACCTAAACTACTTAAATAAATTTACTACATAAATATGTAATGAAGTATAATAGACAACAGTTATAGATATTTAGTTTGATATATATATATATATATATATAAATATATCATACACTAACTGATGTAAAATCTGTTTTTAAACCTAAAAAAATGAATACTTAAATTGAACAGAAATAAATCCAAGGAAGGGGCCCAATAAAACTATCGCACACGGGCCTCCTATTTTGTAGTTGCGGCACTGCCACCATTGCATAGATTTCGGAGAATAATTGTAATGTAATTATATATTCATTACCATTGACAAATATCAAAGGGGACTGTTGGCGTTGTAGATGAAAAGAGATGTGAATAAAACAAAAGAAAAAATCAAGGAAGCTCCGATAGAGTTCCAACGCATTCAAACGGAACAATTTGGGATTAATTATAGGATTAATAATTATCATTGAATTCCGTAATAATTAATATACCTACATTACCACGGGTATCATCATATTTAAAATATGAAAACTTAAGTATATTTTTGAATATTTAGTAAAAAAACCATATAAATAGTTTTTTTTTTTTTTTTAAATAAAAAGTCTTCTCTCCTGACGATTATTACCAACAAAAAAAAGTTACAAATCCTAACACTTATTAAAACCAAAATAAAACACACTGTAATCAATTATAATCAACTTAACTGTACTGATAATATATTTTGACATTCATCGATATAAGAAATTCTGATATAGCTCTAAACCTTCGTCGATCATCATTCATAGTCGCAAACTGATACAAAACTAATAAGTAAAATACGTAGGAATATTGTTCTTTTCAAAATCGCGTAAAAAACGTCTGCATTATATACAAATATGTATGTATATAAAGTTTGTTCCTGTTAAAAAAATATTTATTGGTCATATGAAATTGTCGTTTCTTTGTATTTCGGAACAACCGTATAAATTGTTTGCTATGTTCCAGATGTCTGTGATTTATAGCATTTTCGGGTTGCTACTCCCTTTAACATTATTTCCGGTTGACTTTCAGAATTTTTCTCTTCTTTTAATGTAGTTTTTCTTGAGAATTTTCCCCTTGACTTCTCGTCAATAAATAATTATATTAATATTTTTGTATTGCGCTGCAAGGTGTGGCATACGGTTTAACTTTCATAATAAATAATGTGTTGTTGCAAAATTGTTTATTGAAAAAAAAACATGTTTTGAAACATTTGTTTTAGTTAATATTGTGTATTTAATTAAGAAAAAATCAGTTACGTTTTCATTCGTTTTATACACTAATTTATAAATTCTCTCCAAGCATATATACCATTACAAATATTTGAATACTTTTAAATAGAAAATCGGTTGATTCATCATTTAGTATTTATGCTAGTACATAAGGAATATTATAATAAGAGCAATGATTATTACAACTATTTAATGAATTATGGCCATTATAAAAATGCTGTGCGATTATTCATATTTTTTTTTTATTTTTTTATTTTTTGAAGAGTAATTAAACTTTGAACTCTTTTCAAATCGATATCGGTTTAAATATAAATTGCAAATACATTTATTTATTTAACATTTAATCCAGAAAGTGTTCTTTCTATGAGTTGAAAATATTTTTCTCCGTCAAAACAGTTTGCTTGTGTATATTATTTGTTTAATATTTTATAAAGTTTCCTTTTAAATATTTTACTTTGTGCATATTATTATTTTATTCGTAATTTATTATATTTTTTTGTGGATACAAGTTATATTTAACGATAAATTACATCAGTCTATTAAAGGTAAACAAAAACATAACAAAAAAAAAATATACGTAGATACATAATTTCTACTGAACTAATCCTGCAAAACCTTATTATTGTTTGATTATGATAATTTATTTAAAAAGCTCTTAACTTTTATATAGGTACCTTTTTAAATACGTTTTTTTTTTTTTTTTTGTTCAAATTAAAATTCAATTATTAAATAATAAGTTATAATCATATTACTTTAGCTAGAGATAAAATCATATTTTTTCGATTTAGAGGGGTTGATTATTATTTATCTTTGTACTTTTATCAGTAGACGATCATAATTTTATTTTGCATTATTGCACATAGTTAAAATGTGCGGTTATTTTCGCACATCGTATATAAACAAGGGTATAATGTACTTTTATTACGAATTTATTCTGTTTTAGAATTCACCGAACAAAAACATGCAGTCCAACTCCAATGCACCGCCGGTGAACCCTAATGCACATACAATCTTGGCACCTCCTTTGACAAACATCCCATGGATGGTGAAAAATCCGTTGTCGTTATTGATGGAAATTGTTCTCATATTTTTTATGTACCTGGTCACGTTATATTTCAAGTGTTTGAGAGTGATTCTGCCAAAATTGGAGAAACCTGTCAACGGAAAAGTCGTACTAGTAAATCAAATTGTTTTGTGTACATAAATATTTTGTAATCTATAAAAAGTATGGAATAGAATAGCACAGCACTGCGTAGAGTTAAACGTATACGAATATATGTTTTAGAGGCATGCTTATTTATTAATTTTATTAATTTTTTACATCGTATAACTGCAGGTTAATGATCAACATTTGAGTATAAATTGCAAAATCACAAAATTGCAACAAAAAAAAAAAAAACATTTTCGGTGTTCTCGATATTTCTATAGAACAGAATTAATACATTTTTGTTCGTGTCATAATTTAGAGATTTCGTGCTAACACGTTTTTAGAAACAAACTATTTATTTTTAATAATTTAACACCCCATTCCAAACCCGATAAAAGTTAAACCTAGGTATAGCTGAAGTGCACGCGGGTAATGTCAACAGCTATTAACTTATTTCGTTTAACTATTATTTTATAAGTTTTTCGAGCAAATCCATCACCTTTTAAGCCATCGTTATCACGTAATCCACAAAACGTTATCCCATCCTACACTCGATAATGTCGATATTCTACTGCAAACAATAAGATTCGAGTACGCAACGGTGGACCCGAAAACCCATCTATATAAACCGTATATTTTGAAATCCTGCTCGATTCACAAGTTAAATTTTCAGTTATACAATCCGTGGTTACTGACAAAATATTGTTTTTGGAGTTTTTTATAAAGTTGCTCGAAAATAGACTGGCAGAATAAGTATGATAATATTTTCCATCATCTATTATAATCCACTCGAACGATAAATTTTTAATTAATTATTGAACACGGTTTTAGTCTAGGTACGTCTAGATATGAGTTATTTGAATGCAATTATAATCTAGAGGTTTCCGCAATAGCGAAATATATTATCGGTAATGTGGTAATTAATAAACTTGATGTTCGATGCAATCACGTGCTAATTAAAATATATTATTAAACGTATATGAATCGAGAACGTTGCAAAATAATTTCATAAATAACCCACTGACCACTAGACGTTGTTTGTAATGATATTATAATTCTATAATGATTGATATTTATTAATGTTTGAATAATTTTGTTTGGATCCAATGCATAACGCGCATGTTTGGCGGTCATTTCCATTACAGAAAACCTTCACGCATACCCACAAGTAATGTGGTACTGTATGAAACGGGTCACGTATAAATAAAAATAACCTTTATGCAAATGTATGAACATTTGAGAAAATAATATAGGTATTATAAAAAAAATTTAAAAATTTAATAAATAAAAATTATTTCATTGGCTATAGAATTTTTTCTCTTTTCAAAAAACGTGTTTCATATCAAAATAAATGGCAGCATTTTGAACTTAAATGTTTTTTTTTTTTTTATAAAATCCCATAACTAATCCTTATAGTTTGTGCGTAACATAATATCATCTTTATGAGATATACAATCTGAGGGATCTTATTATTTTTTTTTACTTTTTTACGTATATTCTAACATTCGAAATTTTGAGTTCTAGTCAATAGTTTTCTTAGATAATTCATAGCCATACGCAACAATCGCCAAATGTAGTATACCGGTATACCATCTAATACGGAACCACTTGTGAACCTTTTCTGGAACGAATCTAAAGAATGTATTTTTAAAAACAGCTAATTGTTTGTTTCTCAAATGATTTTGCAAAAAGTTACGCAAATAAAACGCTCCGAACATGCCAGACGGTTTTCTTAAGATTATAAATACTATTTTGTGTACGCTTAGAAGGATTTTGCCTCCAATAAGAGCTCTAGGAGTTCCTTGTTGACAAATGTGGTAACACGAATAAACGCGAAAGTTCTCTCCCGCGTAGTAACTATAAAGTGGATTCGGTTAAAGATTTATCTAGACAACCGTTGTGAAAAATTGTTCTCTTACATAATATTGCGTTGTGCCGATCAGTAACATTTTTTTTCTTTTTCTTCTTTGTCCCATACAGATCACTGGCACCGGAAGAGGTTTAGGCCGTGAGTTAGCCTTGAAGTTCGCTTTACTTGGCGCCAAAGTGGCGTGCGTTGACGCGGACCAGAACAGCAACGAGGAGACGGTGAAACTTATAACGACCAAGATACAGGGGTCCACGGTCAAGGCGTACACGGTGAACGTTGCCGCTACCGCAGAGGTGACCGCGTTAGCGGTTAAAGTGGAACAGGACTTAGGTCCAGTAGACATACTGATCAACAATGCCACCGTTATGGTCGCACACACTTTTCTGGGCGAACAGGATCACACCATCGCGTCCACTCTCAACATAAACCTGCTCGGATCGTTTTGGGTGAGTCGGCGTCGAACGAATTAATGCGTTAAATTCTCTGCGTCGAAAAGAGAAAAAAAAAACCCTCAAAATGTAGACGGTGCTGCTATGTCAATACCTCTCTGTAACGGAATTTGTCCACGTGAATCGAAAATTTACGATTCCGTTTTGAATACATAGCGAAACGACCGACGTTTCTCATTTTAGGCAAGTTTTACTGTACACGTGTTACGTTCGCTTCGGAGGACATGTAGTTTAGCGTTACAATGCATCGCATCAATGAATCTTATGACCATTACACCGGAGAACCCCAATAACTTGGTAGAATATCAATAACTTGAAAAAAAATAAATTATAAATCTCAATAATACGCTTGGTGTGCCATTCGGTTATGACAAAACTTTTCAGTTCAGATATTTTGTTTTACAGTAAAACGACGAAAAAAAATGTCTTTATGTAAATTTCTCTTGGCCTATTATTAAAATATCAGTATGACTTAAACGGCCTATATTGCTACAATGTTCAATATTATTTTTGATTTAATTAGCAATAATTATGATATTAAGTTATAGGAGCGCATTTAATAAAATAAGGAAACCTTAACATTATAATAGTATTAAACGCGTTAGCTATATTTATTTAAGATAAAATGATCGCACTATTCGTTACAGTATAAAATTACACAACCATAGTTGGTAGTATATATGTATATATATATTGTCATTTTTATACGAAGACTGTTTAAATGAGTTAGATTATGTATTACAATGAATACCGTTTATTTGTCATGTATTGGATTTTCTATCAATGGCAATCGGTCGAATTATATGAGTATATATATAAAACGAATGTACTGATTAATAATTTTTACAAAAACTTGATTTTGTTTTTATTTTTGTTTTACATGTCCTATTAAGATGATACGCACATTTTTGCCGGGTATGATGAAGAGAAATAGCGGTCACATCGTAGCGATTTCGTCCGCTTCAAGCCTTTGCAGTCTGTCAAAACTATCAGCATACTCGGCTAGCAAATGGGGTCTTAACGGTAAACTAATTTATTGATGGAAACGAAATATCTACAATATTACATTCCATTATCAATAAACCCCCACCCCCTTCGGATATAAAATTTCCTATCAAAGTTATCTGCAGCAATTTGCTGTTTGTCGGCGTCACACGGTGTATAAAATGAGGTGAGAGAGACTTTTCCAAATCACACGCAGTACTGTTCCCGATCACTATTTATCTATTTCTGCTGGTCACGAATACAGTTACCATCAAGTATGATTTTTACTGAAAATAAACCAAGGTGGTGACGGAAAGTGCCTACGCCCGGGCACAATTCCTGGGAGAACGCAAAAATTAAAATCTTACATTTAATGTTAAAAATTACAATGGGCAATATCTAACATTATTGTTTACAAAATTCTTCATATTAACTAAAGCAATCATTGAAAATAATATTTAATATGCATAATATTTTTAAATAAAAATACATAAGGGCGAATTTTGAAATTTCACCCTTGGCACAAATTTTGCTTGCTACGGCACTGAAATCAACTATTTGTGCCCGCGTATCAGTTTACGATTCGACGTCTTTAAAGCGTTTTCTTCTACATCTGTTATCGATCAAAACGCATTTCTTATTGTTTCAAAATTTTCATCAGACTGCAAAGCCACTATCTGTTGACAGTTATTCAGTCTACAAATATGCTTAAAAGTGTGTTTAGAATAAAGGTAAAAGTCTGAAACGCGAGCGAACGAGAGCAAAAGCTACCGAAAAAACCGGTATTAAACTGAATGCCAACGAATGGATTCGTTCGGCAGAGTTCGCTCCTAGAGCGGTACGATCAAAGAAAAATCATACTTAGGAATACTTAGAAGTGACTGCGAACAAATATTCTGAATGGTGTTGCCGAATATCTCATGCATCTATGAACAAATTCGTTCGCGTTCGGACCATAGTCTAAACGCATCTTTAAACGCGATCGGGTCCATGGACACCATTGTATTGTTGTGCTTCTCGTTAATAACTATATAGGAATTTACATAAGTATAAATTTAAAAGGTTTTCCATTCTTATCAATAACTTATCTAAAATTTCTCCTAATTATACGATGTAGTATGTATTTCTCTGTACGAACAATGGTATTGTTTACTATATTAGACTCTTAGACCATCATCCTAATTTTCATTTTGAAAGTAACTGCGACGTACACTGCAAGTCGGACCAATAAAGGTACAACGTTAATTGATTTTTGTATTCGAGTGTACATATAAACCGTTACTTTGTACAATTATTGACGCTGAGTAAAATTGTCTGGTAAATGTCTAGCAGTGTACAAGTAACTGCACCATTAATCTTATAAATGCAAAATAAATTGTACGTGTGGGACACGTTTATCATATCGAATTCGTTATTCGTTCGTTTCAGGCATGATGGAAAGTCTCAGAGAAGAACTTCGGGAACACAGCAACAACAAAATCAATACAACTGTCGTCATGCCCATTTTTATCAACACGAGTGCCGATTACACGAAGTACATCAACAGCAGGTACAGTAACAGTAACAACGTCCGCTATGACACACATACTTTGTATTATTACATACAATTCGATTATTATGATAAATCCGTATTATATTAACATCAGTATAGTTATTATCATGATATTTTACCACGTTTGGTTTTTCATATTATCATTTGATTATATTTTGAATTTAATTTCTAAATGCGTTCGCATCTAGGACATTATTTTTTTCGAACTCATGGTACATCGAAATACAGTTTTATTCCAACTATCCTTTTTATTTGTTTTTACGTGCAATAAAATAGTCAAAGCTTCGCATGCCAATACGACGGAGTGCACGATGTACTTCGTTCCGATCTCGAAACCATGGACCATTAACACGTATTAAGAGTATTTATAATTATGAACATCGAATACATGGTGCTATTTTCATCTTAACGCATTAAAATACAATATAATGACGAAAATAATAAGCTCGGATTATCTTATGCACCATTCTTACCTCGAGTTTTTAAATTCACTACTATCCTGAAAAGGGAACGGGTTGTACTTCTGCCTTATGGGATTTTAATTATTATCGCTAATTGGCCTTTTACAAAATTAATCGAATTTCAGGATGCCGGTGCTCAGCTTAAAACATGCAACTGAAGCTACGATCCACGGGATCTTGACGGATGAAGTAGAATTCACCATTCCTCGAGTAGTATATTTCACCAATCTACTCAAAAGGTAAGTGGCTAAAAAAAAAAAAAAAAAAAAAAAAAATTAAAATAAATTAAAAAAATAATACTGTAATTTCACATGGAATTATTTAATGTTTTATAATACATATTTAATTCGGTCTTTCTTATTTAATCCACAGATTATTACCCATCAACATTTCGGATTCGATTAAGAACATCTTTTATACGAAAATCATATTGCCACCACAAGAAATTCAATCCATTGACCCTAGCAGGACAATTATTAATAAAACCAATGTTGCTTATTAAATTTACTAAATGTAGCATTTATAGTAAAACAATATTGTTTATATGATATCAATTATAATTATTTTTTAAAAAATGCCATTATGAACATCGAGAAGGTCATAATGATGTTTAGGATTATATACGATTTGCATAAAAATAAATATTCAAAAATAATAAGCAGAATTTGATATTCGAATCACCAGTATACTTGTTATATAATAATATTATATTGGATACATTTTTTTACATCACGTTCGTTTTATTTGTATCACGTTAATGGTTATTTATTTTATTTATATATTATTGATATTATGTGTTCAATAATAATTTCAGCGCCTAGATTTATGTATTGTTTATTGAAGTAACATGGAAAAATTAAATAAAAAATTGTTATATTATTTAAATCTTTTTGTTTTATTTGAAAAACGCGCATATTTCCATCAAGGTAAAAATATTGTTATAAAATTTTCATTTTACGTTACAATATAATCGAAAACATTGCATTTATAATAACCAATGTTACAATAATTATTAAATTAGTAATTTAAAGCTAATTTTAATTGTCTAGGATAAAACTAAAAAGTATAGGTCATATGGAAATTTTTACTATTGTTTCGCCGTTAATCACCATCAAGGTCGATTTTTATAATGAATAACAAGTGTTGGTGTTTTTTAGTTTACAGTGGTAAAAGTAGATAACTATAGTTATAGCCGACTCTAGTATTCTCTGTATATACTTAATACTCGTATGTACATTAAACCAATGGTCGGTAACTGACTGAAAACTAGACTGTCAACTTAATATCTGATTTTAGTACTTAATAATAATAGTTTTATTTTAGTGAAACATAAACAATATACATTAAAGTAATAAATAATAAGTTTATTATGTTTTAGTGTACTATAAAATATAATATATGTAGTAGAATAGTATTATAAATTATATACATCGCTTACTCCAAGGCAGGTTTTATTGTAAGGATTTTTCCAACTGTACAGATTAAATATATGTTATAGAGGGAGGGGGAGATTCACCCCACACTCACCATAATGATTTGATGGATTCTGATGAAGCAGATGTTGAATACGCGGAAGTAGCCAACAACGGTTTCAATAACCAATTATTCAAACAATTTTACGTTATATTTATCATATATTTATTTTTATTCATATTTCATGAACAAATGAAATGAAAGCAAATTACTAATATTTCATGGAAAAACCACACTTTTTAATAATAATTATAAGCAAACGTATTTATATAATTTATAAAATATGAATTCCCAAATAAAACATTATAATTTGAAGAAAATAATTATTCAAAAGAAACTAGTGATGGCTCGGGGACTTCGAATAGGTAAAAATTAATGAAAATAATATATATCTTGTAAAATACGTAAGATGGAAGTATTCATTTTATGAAAATGTAAGATTTATCAATTTGATTGCGACCGCAACAATCAATTTTTTTATGTTACCTTTTTAAGCTGGTCAATACATTTTGTCTCTTCTATTAAAAACTGAAATTATGGCATTGGACTGACGCAAGAAATATTATTTATGTGCGCATCACACTCACATTTTGTGTTCCAAACTACCAACGACCAAGGTCACATTTAGGGGGGCATTGGCTACAACTACCCCGGGTGACAGTTTTTTGGGTGTGCTAACATTTTGTGGTCGAAAATTTGCTTACATGTGAATTATTGAACTTTTAAAATTATTCAGAAATTATAATTTTCTTTTTTTTTTTAATAACAGTATCATAAATTAATGTTAATGTATTTAATTTATTAATATATATTATTAGTATATTTATAGCATTATAGCTATCAGTGATCCAGAATATTATTAATATGCCTAATATTAGTTCCCAAATTTGTTGTAATAATGTTAATAAATATAAATTATTTATAACAATACCACAGAATAGATTTAATCTATTCTGTGATAATACGGCATATTATGTTATCGCGTGTGGAGGCGTGCCTACTACACAAAAATAGCTTTGATTTTAGAATATCTAAAAGGTTTATGAAGATCTATCTTCTATATTTTCCGTGGGTAGGCCCCTTAGAGGGGTGCCAATTTTTTTTTTTTTTTTGCGCCAGGGCAAATACGTCTAAATACGGCACCGCCAATGACCGCAACGGGTTAACGTCAACAAGTATAACACAAATACTAGTGAATTTCAGTAAAATGTATCTAATAAAATATACAAGTTGGTGAATTAGATACCAACTTTTGTATTAAAATATTTAATATTTAATTAATTTTTTAATAATACATTTTGCTTATGCGCCAGTAGATATTCTTATGTGCGCTACGACACATTTTTTATCAAACCTGGGCAAGTTAATGATATTTTTTAACTCAGTTAAGTCAAGTTAATTGAGTTCACTTTCAATTAAGTTAAAAATTAAGTCAAAAAATGTTGTTAACTTAACTTATATTAATAAGTTAAGTTAATTAAAAAAAAAAAATACATTAAGTGTTGATATGAGTGATGTATATATATATATATATATAAATTTACAGCAGATATTAATAATAATTATTAAATTAAAAAGATATTGAAAATGCATAAAAAATCTAATTTTTGAATATTTTTTATTTAACCTTTATCAAACTAGAAAAATATACTTTTCTTCGTTGGAATTGTTTTAATGTACTTAAATGTCAGATTTACGGTAAAGAATATGGTATTTTATTAATTTTTCATACAAATCACATTTGAAAAATATAATTTAAAAAGTATTATTTTTAATGTTTAATAATAGTATGAACAAAAAAATTACTGCAGCTGAAAATTTTGCTATAAAATTAATTAGATGATACAGTAGATACAAAACATTAAAATAAATTTATAATATTTATTGGCTTAATTAAAATAAAAACAAATAAGACAGTACATTGGATAGGGTCAATCAAAATATCTATAAAATCTCAATAAGAGAGTCATTTCAACATTTTGTTCAGCTATTAATAATATAACAATATATTACCTAAATTAATTAATTTACTATTTCATCATACTAAAAATATTGCTGAGATTAATAAAACTTACTTGGATATTTATTGTCCATGTTCAATTGTATGACTTCTATATTGTTGAAATCAACACTTAAAAATGATACATTATTATACAGACATACACATAGAAAACGATATATATTTTAAGTAGAGTTATCACTGATCAGTGTTGTGTGTAGGCAGTGCTAGTCTTCAGAGTCGTCTCAAGGTTTTTCGGGGCCAGGGAGATATTAATTTTGGGGCCCTTCGACCATACTAATAAGATATGATAAACAAAATACTCACTGAAAATAACAAAATTTTTCTAAACGTATTTTTCCTAACCTTAACCGATCAAGATCTTGATGATTGGCTATTCTTCCTTAGGTAATAATCTTTAGACGGTCGACTACTTTTCCCAAGACCTATTTAGTTAATTAGACCTATTAGTTAACACCGTGATCAGTATAATGTTCTTATCTAAAAATAAAAATACAAAGTTTTTCGGAACCCTTTAGATTTTATTTTTGATATTTGTTTAAATTCCATTAATTTTTTATCGAATAATCGATAACGATATACGCGGTATTTGACAAAAATATTTTTCTGGTCTTGAAAATTAAAATTAACTTAATTGGGGTAAATATTTCTAAATCCATTAGTTTGTTCTCGAACAAACGATAATGATATTTGGGGTATTTGACAAAAATATTTTTCTGGTTCAAATTAACTTAATTTGGATGAATGAAAAAATAATGTGTTAATTTTAAGTTAATCTGTAAGCAAATAAGTTAAGTTTATAAGTTAAATTAACTTAACTTTTTATTTTTTTAACTCGTTAATGCCCAGGCTTGCTTTTTGCACTCTGAAATCTCAAAATGTGCATCCTTAAAGATAAAAGTATGCACCTAATTTGTCATAGCATATTGATCTATACAGTATAAACTATACTTAGCGTTTACCACTTACTCTACTATTTTATTAAACCAAATTAACAAATTCAATTATTGTGCACTTCGAAAAATAGCCACTGTAATGCACCATTCACGTACCTACAGTAATTTATATATGAGCCGTCACAGAGTAAAAATAACCAAATTTATAACATTGAAAAATCTTCTTATTAATATTAATAAAAAATTTTACCTCGATAACGATGAACCCCTAAATGTTCAATTGTTTTGCTATCTAATAAATGGCAAAATCAAAGCATGTATGCAGGGCCTGAATTAGGCAGTTCAACATTTGTCAATAGAAACAACTGTTATCGATTGGAGCAGTTCAATTGGTATAACGAGTTCAATAGATGTTAGCCCGACGTGTCCTGGCTATTGAGCGCAGTGATTTTAAGTTAGCACTTAATCATCAAGCTCTATAATAATACTTACGAAAGATGTCGTTTTACAAAATGTTCTGTGACCAAATTTGCATTTTCGATAGAGACAGTTTTATTTTGATTTTTGAACATGAATTTTGTACTTACAGCCAGAGGTCAGTAAAAACGTTCATTTCGATTGTCCTATTACTCTTTAATTTTTCTAATCGTTTTTGTTCACGTATTTCTAATTCTATTAAAATCAATACTCGTTTACAAAATTTTGATCAATATTATGGTCTTAAGATTACGTGCCAACGAAAAAAAAAAAGATAAAACAGAATTAATTTAATTGAAAATTATTATTCAAAATCTATACGTTTTAATTTTCATAAAATCCACCGTGCAATGCATACAGCGTTTACGCCCAAAAATGTATAAATAATGATGTTCCAGTTTGATATAATAATTGATAGATATCTAAAACCACTATAATCTGTACTATGGTTAAAAAAAATTGCGTTATGTTCTAAGAAAGTAAATTAATGGGTCCTGTTCAAGAGTATTGATATTAGACGTTATCTCCATCACCAAATGTCAGTATCCCTGTTGTCCGTTTCATACTTCGTATTGCATAAAAATAAAATCTGAGTGTAATAATCTGAAAGGATCTGAAAGAAAAGTATGTTTATTTTGTTTATTTATGATACTTTAAATTGTTTTTCAAGGTAAATTCGAAAAATGTGTGCGCGATTTCCGAAAATTCGATTTTTCGGGTTTGAATTTAAATATTTTATATCAAATTCGGAAAACTCATAAAAGTACCAAAATTGGTGACGTAGTTATGAAAGGAGATAAAATTGAGAATTTTTACTTACGGTAAAAATAATTTAAATTTTGTCGGTTTTTGAATCACAGTGATCTGTATGAATATAACACAATTTTCGAC